GCATGTCTTTCTTTAATTTTGGGAAATTTTCTTCCACAATTCTGTTGAATAACTGGTCCGTGCCATTATCTTAGCATTCTTCTCCTTCCTGTATGCCTATGATTTGTAAGTTTGTTCTTTTTATGGTGTCACACAATTCCTGCATATTCCATTCTTGTGATTTCTTAAATTTTTCATAATCTTTGCTTGAGTGGTCTAGTTAGTCCACTTTATCTTACAGTCTTGATACTCTGTTTTCCATTTAGTTCATCCTATTGTGATGCTTTCTCCTGTCACTTCTCATTGGCTCACTAAGTGTTTCACTTCCTTCTTCATTTCAGCCTGAACATTCTTCAATATTTCTAACTTTTTTCTGAATTCATTCAGAAGTTTATCCCTATCTTCCTTCAGTTTTTTGAGTTCTTTGTCTGTTCCTTAAATTCACTGAATTCTTTGATCATGTTTATAATTGTTCTTTTGAGTTCCATGTCTTGCATTATCTCTAAGGGGTTCTCATTGTACTCCTCTAGAGGACTATTGGTGTTTGGTCTCGGAGATATGTTATTTTGGTTTTTCATGTTATTATTTTTTCTCTGTGATTTTGACATGTGGATTTCTTTTGTAGTTTCTGATTCTTGTGTGAGATTCAAGCCTTCCAGTTTAGGTCTGCTTCTTTTTGTGAACTTCATGTATCTTTGTGGTTTACTTTTTGGGCATGAAAAGCTTATTCCTCTAAGCTTCCTGTTCTCTTTTTTGATTTTATATTGGAGTGTCCAGATTGCTTTTGTCTTTAGGTGTTTCCACAGAGGCCCAAGTCAGTCGAGACTTTCTCCTAAGGTCTGTATCCTTCCAGGAAAGATTTTGGCCTCAGGAATTTGGTGGTTGGACTGGCCTGGTAGCCGTGACCAAGAAAAATGCTGGTCTAGGGCAGCTGGTGGCCATGGACCCAGAGATACAAAGGCAGATTTGGGCAGGAAGCAACCCCAAGGACTCCTGGGGACTGCACTGAGGAGCTGGCTTGGTCTGTATGCAAAAGATCAGGAAGAGGAAAGGTCAGCCCCTTAGTCCAGGAAAGAGGCTGATGGGTGGTATAGACCCAGGGAAGCACAGGGAGGTGAGGGCGGGGCCAGGCCGAGAAGCGGTGCTCCTGGGGACCAGTGAAGGCATTGAGTTGGTCTCGATGAAGAGGATCAGGAAGCAGTAGTGGTTCTCCAGATGTTTAGGACCCCAAGAAAGGTAATGGGACATTACCCAGGCTAGGAAGAGAGACTGGCAGGGGAGATAGGAGGGTAAATGAGGCTAGGGGAGTCAAGGCTCAGAGGATGTGGTGGACTTCTCTGAAGAGAAGCCTGCGGTATGAGAGAGGCCTGAGAATTCTGTAGGCCCAGGGAAGTAGAGGGAGGTGAGGAAGGGGCCAAGCCCAGAAGTAGTGCTCCTGTCAGCCAGAGAAGGCACTGAATTGGTCTGGATGAAAAGGATCAAGAAGCAGTCGTGGTTCCCCAGGTATCTGGGGCCCCAAGACAAGGAATGGGAAAGGACCCAAACTAGGAGGAGAGACTGGCGGGGGAGATAGAAGGGTGAATGAGGCTGGAGGAGCCAAGGCACCTGAGGGCGTAATGGACTTACCCTGGAGAGAGGCCTGTGGGTTCTGCAGGCCCAGGGAAGCAGAGGGAGGTTGCCTCTGTTTTTTAATACTGGATAAATCTTATACCTGCTATCAGAAACAAGTCTACTGGTTGCCTGAGGATAAGTGGAAGTTAAAAAGGGAATTGAATGAGTATTGTGTTTTGAATGTGAAATGTGCCCCATCGGCTCACTTGGTCTCTAGCTGGAGTATTATTTGGGAAAGTTGTAAAACCTTCAGAAGTTGGAGCTTTGCTGGAGGAAGTTCTGTAGTGGGGGTGGTGCTTGTGGTTTTATAGCCCAGCCCTACTTCCAATTCTCTCTGCTTCCTGACTTCTGGTATAATGTGACCAGCCAGCCTTGTGCTCCTGCTGCTTTGCCTTCCCTGCTATGGTGGACTATATATTCCTTTGGAGCTATAAGCCAGAATAAACCCTTTCTCCCTTCAGTTGCTGTGGTCAGGTATTTTTGTTTTAGTAATGTGTAAAGTTGCTAAGGCAATGAGGAAAAGAAAGAAAATAAACAGAAGAAAATAAAATTAATCAGAAAGAGGAGAAAATTAGAAGGAAGGGGTGTGGTTATATGTCCAGTCTATAGGGTGCAGGCTGTGAGTTACTGGGAGGAGAGTTGATTGAAATTGGATACTAGGTGGTGACAGCAGGGACCGAAGGTGGGAGTACATAGGCATTCAGACAGTTCAGCTGGGTACAGTTTTCTGTGTTGGTCTATCAAAGAGTTTCATATGACATCAGATAATGTAAACTAGATTCACATTAACAATTTCAGAGGACAGCTATTGGAGTCAATGTTCTCCTATTTTCACTAGGCTTGTAAGGAAAAAGCCTTTTTCCCTGAGCCATCTCACTGGCCCCTAGATTTCTGTCTGAATTTGGGGGAGCGGGATTGTGGATTCATTTATCTACTAACCATGAATAATTCCTCTAATAATAAGGCTTCCTAGCCTATGCTAAAATTGACTAGGAAAACTCATTTGTGAATAAGATTATGAACCTGTTCTTAGGCACAATAAATGAAGCTTCGTGAGTGGAGAGATCTCAGCCTGCAGCAGGGAGGAAGAGCTATTCTGGCCCCTGTTTCTCCTTGAACTGGGATTTCCTTGCCATTTGTGCTGGGTAGTTTTGGTTGTCAACTTGACACACCTGGGTAGAGGGAGCCTCAATTGGGGAATTTCTTTCATTGGACTGGTCTGTGACCACCTCTGTGGGGCATTTTCCTGATTGTTGAGTGATGTGGGAGGGCCCAACCCACTGTGGGTGGTACCATCCCTGGGCAGGTCCTTCTGTATTGAATAAGAATGCAGGTTAAGCACTGACCAGGGGAGCAAGCCAGTAAGCAGCGTTCCTTCATGGCCTGTACTTCAGCTCCTGTCTACAGGTTCATGCCCTGAGTTTCTACTTTGGGCCTCATTGATGAATTGTGACTGGGGAGATGTAAGCCAAACAAACCCTTTCCTCTCCATTAGTATTGGTCAGACTGTTTAGTCACAGCAGTGGAGAAACAAACTAGAACATCCTCCATAGCATTTGATTCCCCTGAATTCAAGGGAACAGGCTCATGTATCTGTCAAAGGGAAGGAAATTTAAAGAATCTCCAAGTCACTAAAAATGGACTTTGAAAGTTAAATAAACCGTTGAGGCCTGGAGAAATGGCTCAGCAGTTAAGAGCACTGACTACTCTTGCAGAGGACCCAGGGTTGATTCCCAACACCCACATAGTGACTACAAACCATCCTTAACTCCAGTTCCAGGGGAATCCAAATCCTTCCTCTGACCTCCACGGCATTGCATGGCACAGGTGCACTCACATACATGCAGGCAATACACACATACACATAAAATGAAAATAATAAGTAAAATATTAAAAAAATAAAAAGGTTGTTGTCTATTAAACATGTGAAAACAAGTTAACATTTATCAGGATCTTGGTATATGCTGGGAACTATGTGGCTGTTTTGTTTTATTTTTACAGAGTAACTGTGTAATCCTGGCTAATTTGGTAGGCCATGGAATTGAAAGAAATCTGCCTGCCTCTGCCTCAAGTGCTGGGATTAAAGGTGGGTACCACCATGCCTGGCTCATGTGTCATTTTAAAAAAATATTTTATTATTATTATTATTATTTTATCATTATTTTTAAAATTTTTAATAACTAAATGATTAGAAGAAGCATTTCATTACAGCTTTAACATATTCAGTAACACTCCAGAACAAGAGTACCTCTCTTTCACAAGTGGGTGCAAGTTTCTAGGTTCACAGTTGAGTTAATACAGTTATACAATATTGAACTCAGTATAAGCCCTGTAACATAAAATTGAATGAGTTTTTTTATGTGTCATTTGTTGCAGACTGAGGTAAGTTTCTATTATTTCATTTACTATAATATTTTTATAATTTTTTGAGAATTTTATACAATGTATTTTGATCATATTTATCCCTGACTTGCTTGCTCCCCTAACTCCTTCCTTATACCTCTCACCTCCCCACCCCCTTCTAACTTCTTGTCTTCTTTTTTAGATTACCCACAGAGCCCATATGTTACCCATACAATGTGGGGCCATACACTTGAGCATAGTCAACCTGCCAGGAGCTACACTGTTAAGGAAAACTGACTCTTCCTTTCCCAGAGGTCATTAACAGTCAATAACTCCTCAGTTAGGGGAAGGGAGTCCCGACCCTCTTCCCTTGAGGTAAGCTTTATGATGATCTTTTTGAAATAGGGTTTCACTTTGTAGCCCAGACTGGCTTCATGCTCATAGCAATTGCACTGTAATTGAAGCAACATTATACCTGCAGCAAGTGGCAGAGTTGAGACTTGAATTTGGGCAGTCTAAAGTCAATGTTTGGGCCAACAAAATTGTTCAGTAAGTAGGGTGCTTGACAACAAGCCCAATGGCCCAAGTTTGATCCCCAGAACCCACACAGTGGAAGGCAGAAACTGACTGCCACAAGTGGCCTTCTGAATTTCCACAGTGTCATGCCACTAGATTTATGGACCATTGTTAGCTGCTATGTGGGTGCTGGAAATTAAACCAGGGTCCTCTGGAAGAACAGCAAGTATTCTTAATCACCGAACTGTGGGTCTCTCCCTCCCCTCAAGGGCCGTTGGCCACTGATCCACGAGGACAAAGGGAGCAGAAGTGATGAATGGGGTCAGGATGGCCATTGAGCACAATGGAAAAGACTTTCTGGGGAGTCAGATTCAGTGATACAGCTCCGTTTATTCAGTGGGGCTCAGGAAAAATATAGTGTGGAGGCAGCAGCCAAAGCTTCAGTTGATAGGTGCTCATAGTATGCTTTATTTACATGTGGTAGGGGGATCCTATCATCCGACTATAGGACAATGCCTAATTATCATATAAAAAAAACTGGGGGCAGTTTTATTGCAAGTAACTATGCCAAAGGTCATGTTCTAAATAAGGTCAGCCATCCGTTTGCTTGGTGTCACTTTCCACGTAAGTCAGGCAGAGAGCAGGAGCCCCCCGCCCACCCCCCCCATAAGAAAGGGAGCCCTTTCATATAGCACCGAGTTCCTTAGAGCTATCTGGACATGGTGGACTACAACCCTAGCAGCAGGGTTCCCCAACACTGAATCATCTCTCCAGCTCCTAAAAATACTCTTGTTACATAGCTCTAGATGGCTTTGAGCTCATGACCTTCTTGCTTTATCCTCCCAAGTGCTGAGGTTGCAGGCATGCATCTCTACAGGCAACCAATCTTTACTTTTTTGGGGGTAAGCTTTATTTTATTTTTATTTATGTGTATGTCTGCGTGAGTGTCTGCCATGTGTGTGTATGTCCATGGAACCCAGAAGAAGGTACAGGATAGCCTGGAGCTAGAGGTACAGGTAGTTATGAGCCACCCAATCTGGGTGCTGGGAACCAAAGTAGGGTCCTCTGGATGAGCAGCAAGCGCACTTAACCACTCAGAAATCTGCCTCACACCCCCATTCTTTACTTTAACAATAGGATTAAAATCAACAAAAAGGATTTAAACAAAAGCCAACAAAAGAATGATTTTAAAGAATGAAAACTAGCCCAGTGTGGTAGCACACGCCTGTAGTCCCAGCACTTGGGAGGCAGAGGCAGGCGGATCTCTGTGAGTTCAAGGCCAGCCTGGTCTACATAGTGAGTTCCAGGACATCTGGGGCTACAGGGAGATCCTGCTTCAAAAAGACAAAAAAAAAAAAAAAAAGATTGAAAACTAACTTCAAACTTTATTCCAGGGGCTGGAGAGAGATGGCTCAACAAAGAGCACTTGCTGCTCTTGCAGAGGACTGAGTTTGGTTCCCAGACTACACATTGGGCTCCAGAGAATCCAAAGTCCTTGTCTGTTTTCCACAGGTACCTGCATTCATTTGCACAGACCCACACACATAATTAAAATAAAAGAAGTCTTAAAACAAACAAGCCTTGTTCCAATGTTTTGTAATATTAAAGTTTGGACAGTATGACTTAAACATGTTTCTTCTTTTAGCTGAGCGTGGTAGCACAAGCCTTTAGTCTCAGGGCTCAGGAGGCAAAGGCAGGTGTTTCTCTGAGATCTAGGCCAGCTTGGTCTACATAGCAAGTTTCAGGTCAGCTGGGGCTTCGGGGAGATTCTGTCTCAAAAAACCCAAAAATCAAATCAAACCAAAACAAAAATATATCTATTTTGTATAATTGTGGGCTTTTTGTGCAGGTGCATACTCTTGGGGAACCCCTTTGCCATCACATGCATATATTACTGCCTGTGTTAAATTATAGTAATTGCAACTAATATAATCAATTTCAAGTCACTCCGTTTTATAGAAGGGATATTTAGTATGGGGCTATTACATTGTTAACATATGCCATTCATCATTTTGCAGAAATGGATAGAATAATCATTGATTCAGTAGTCTAGTTAAACACACTGATAAAGCAAATGTACGTTGTACCAAACGTAACACCTTTAGCTAGGTAGGTTAGTGGAGTGCGCCTGAAATCGCAGCACCCAGGGTGCTGAAGCAGAACAGGAATGAATTTGAACTCAGCAACTCTGGGTAGCAGCATTGTTTTCCCAAACACTAGGTGTTTGCAACTGGATTAGAAATGGGATGTTTTATTTTATTTTATTTTATTTTATTTATTTATTTTTAATTTCTTAAATTTTTTATTTTTTTGGTCTTTTTTGAGACAGGGTTTCCCTATAGCCTTTTATTTTGTATGTATATGTGTATACATGTGTGTTTGCATGTGTGTGGACTCACGGGTATATGTGCTTGAGTATGCATGTCCATGTGGAGGCCTGAAGTTGAAGTTGGGTATTTGCCTCAATTGATCTCCACTTTATTTACTGAGGAAGGGTCCATTGCTGAACCTGGAACTCACCGATTCCCACTAGTCTAGCTAGCCAAATTGCCCCAGGGAGCCTCTGGCTCTACTTCGAGTGCTGGGATTACAGGTGGCTGCCACACCTGCCCAGCTTTTACCTAAATACTGGGGATGATAACCCTCATCCTCACACTTGCCGAAGAGTGTTTTTTCCACTGAACCATCTCCTCAGCTCCAGAAATAAGAGGTTTTAAGATTTAATTAATTAATTTATTTCAGTGCATTTTTGTGACTATATGCCCACATGTGTGTGCATACCTGTGTCCACACAGAAGCCAGAAGAGGGCATCAGGTGTTCTCCTCTGTCACTATTTCTCTGAGGTAGAGCCTCTCTCTTAACTTGAGGTTTGTTTTTTCTCAGCTATGCTTGAAGCCAGCAAGCCCAGTGTCCCCTGTCCTCTCTCTACTTCCCTTGGGACTGGGATTACAGGCGTGTGCTAGATACCTGGGTTGCTACATGGGTTCTGGGATCCAAATACTGGTCCTTATGATTGTGTGGCAAATGTTCTTAACATTGAGCCATTTCTCTAGCCCCAAGAAATGGGGTGTTTTAAAGACCACAACAGATTATGCCTCTTCCTCTTTCCTAGTCCCTAGCTGCAGACATTGCATGGTGTAGGCATATCTTCTCATAATCTTTTTTCCTCTGTGTATGAAAGGAAATGAGAAGACACACTTGCAAATGGGACTTATCTAAGGATATTTTATTTTTTTTTAGAATCCCAGTAGGAGGATTTATTCAATAATCTCCAGTGAAGCATGCTCTCTCTTCCTTGGAAGCCCGTGAACCTGGTTTGCTTATCAGATTCCCGTTCTTGACTTCCCAAGCATATTTGGTTGCATTTCATGGGATGGAGTATCTGGGGTGACCCAGGGGAAGCTGGAAGGTAAAACTGCTCTCCTTTTCAGAGCTGGCCCTCCTTCAGGCCTCCTGAAGGGAATGTTCCCACGTGGCTTCTCACATGGTGGAACAGAGCTCCTTTGCCAGCAGCCTCAGTCGGCTGCCGACAATGAGAACAGAAGAGGGGTTGAAGAGTCACCTTAGCTACCTAGATAGGCCCTCCTGCTCCAAGGGCCCCACAGTGTCTTGGAGGAAGTTAGGAGAGTCAGGAGGGCTCTGATCTTTAAAAGCAAAGGTACACAAAGTTCAGAAAAATAGGAAAAGGATAATTTGTGATTAATGTTTGATTCAGTGAAATAAAGTGTATGTCCCTGTATTTGAGATTGCCCAGCAAGTGGGCATTAGGCTGCCCTTTCCTTCTGAGTCTGGGAACATGCTGGGGTTTCTCTCAGAGGCTGAGTCACCTTTCCAGGCTGGACCATGGGTTCATTCACTGTCTTGGCATTATCTTTTAGCTTGTTCAAGGAGACAGGGAAAAGATACATTATTAAACTGTCTGCTTGAAAGGGAAAAAGAAAAACTGGTAACTGAATTAGAGAACTAATTTACTTTTCATTACATTTATTTATTATTGTGTATATGCATGTCTGTGTGTATGTATGTGTGCATATGGTCAGACAACTTGCAGGAAGGAGTAAGTTCTCTTTTTCAACCCTGTGGGTCCTGGGGATCAAACTCAAGTTATCAGGCTTATTAGCAAGCAAGCTCCTTTACTGCTGTACCATCTTGCCAGTCCAAAAACTAATTTTATTTTTTAATGTTTAAAAAAACTTTATTGGGAATTTCATACATTCATATAAGGTGTTTTGATCAAATCCATGCCCACTCTTTCCTCTCCAACACCTCCCATATTTCCCCATCACTTTTTTCTGACAACTTCATGTTTTTCCTTTGTTTTTTTTTTTTTTTAAATGGGGCTTTTTGCTGCTCTAACATTATGCCTCTGAAGAGGTAACCCTAAAACCTTTTAGAGATTAGATAAGAGCTTCCAAATACTTTTGTCATTTTTGGCCTTTGGAACAGAGTACGTTGCTAAGAGGCCCAAGGACATTTTGACTTTTAGCCAAGAAACTGACTACTTTTCTTTGGGGTCTTTTTTACCCTAACTGCCTAGTCAGTTCCTACCTCCTATTCTTATCACACCATCCTCTGAAGAGGTTACCCAAATGGATGATAGTGATCCGGAAGCAGACCACTCTGGCTTCTTCCATGCTGAACAGGGACTCAGGGTGAGGCAATTGGGGCCCTTCAGTGGGTCTATCTAAAAGACTAAAATTGCATAACTCTTATCTATAGGGAGAAAAGAAAGTCCTTGACTGGTGAATAGGGGATATGAAGGAGAAGTAAAGGCAAAAGTAGTTAGCATTATAAGTTCTAGATGGAGAACCAGAAAAAAGTCAGAACAGGGCAAATTTCAAATGTTCATATCAGAGTGCATTGGGAGTTCTTTGTTGACAAGGGCTTCCAAAAGCATCCCTCTATTGTGTTCCTCCTCATTTTTCTTTTGTCTGCCAAGGCTGGACTCGAGAGTGACGGATTCAGGATTTGCTTTCAGGTATTTTGATAGCTGTTGGAGTGGTGAGAATCAGTGTCAGTTCCCTCTCAAAGGTTCTAGATAGGGGGAGAAAACAAATTTATCAATCATTTTAGAACAACTGTGGGTTGTCTCCCTTAGCTGCAGGTGGGCACTACGGTATTGCAGACCAATATTTGAAGTCTTACATCTGAGCAGCACTTTATTTAGAACAAAATCATCAATGAGAAATAATTGTCTAAATAACTTTTTATATGGACTTAAGCCTAATGTCTGGGAAGTGTAATCCCTTGAACTCTTAAAGAAATATACTGATCACTATAATCTTTGATTATACTTTCCTTTTGGGTGTTTAAGACCATACAGTTGGCCCAAATAAATCAATTTATTTTTACACTTAAGTCATTTGAGGATCTGTTCCTCAGGGGTCACATGAGTTTGGGATTAGCCCTTGGCTCCTTTCTTTTACCAATTCCATCTATGCGAAGATAAGTCAAAGGTCCTGCTCGACCATGTCTGGCTTCACTTGGAAGCATGGATGTTTCCTCTGAGTTGGCCCTCCTCTTTGTAGACTGGACACTGGTTCAAGTCCATCTAGTGGGGTCTCTGAGTCGGCCTTCCTCTTTGTAGACTGGACACTGGTTCAGGTCCATCTCATGGGATCTCCATATCCTCTCTGAACAAGAGGATAGGTGATGTTCTAAAATCCCCTGGAACTTAGTCGACCTTGGAGGGCAAGGGGCAAAAACTGTCCTTTAAGTCCCTCTGACCACATTAATATAGGCCCCAAACTATGGCTGTTAAACATCCAATAAAGTTAGTTCCACTAGTCTGGCACTTTTAATTACCATGTGCTATATAGATAAAGCTTGGGTCAAAAACCGAATATTCTCAGATAAACCTTGAGTATATATATATTTTGTTTCTTAAACTAGTCGACTAAACTATGACCTTCGAAATTTTAAGATTGTGTGTATATTATTTTTGTCTCATCCTTTGTATATCATAACAAACCTACACAGACCTTCATCACTTGCTTAGGCTTTCTCACTTTTTCTGTCTGTTTTGAAAAATATCTCCATTTCCATATCCTTTTAACATCTTTTACATTCTCATTTTCTTTTCTTTTAAAAAAATAATTATGAGACATAATAGCATTAACTAATACATTTTCCATCTGTTGTTAGAATTCTTTTCCCAGGTATACTAAGCCATGTTTATTCCCTTTTAAGGTTCTAGTGTCAAGCCAATGTTTGTTAAAGTTTTACTGGGGAACCAATGAATCTACTGAGCTTACTTACTGAGATAACTGAGGGGTTGCTGAGGTGTATGCGTGACCTGAGGGTATGCACACTGGAAAGACTTTACCAAGCATGGGTCATGCCTTCTTTTCCTAGCCTTCCCCAGATTGTATATTTAGCCCTCCCCAAATCCAGGAGACCATGTGTGATTAGGGCCAAATTACATACAGTTAGCTTGGAAGAGTCCAATAACTAATTTTCATATCTGACTTACTTCTTCACGGTCTCCTGTCTTTTTGGCCTGGTCTACAGGGAACAGTCCATGCTCACATTAGGGTGAGGGAACCTTGCCAGAGGTGGATGTTGAGCAGGGCGCTCACTCGTGTGTGGCAGGATGAAGCCCTACAAATCCCAGCATTTGTTCTTAGAGTCAACTAACTCACTTATAAATGGGTGGGGAAGGGATTAGGGTTTAT